GCTGTGTCGTGTTTCTCGTTAAGGCTGTGCTGTATTCTTTGTTAAGACTGTGTCGTGTTTCTCGTTAAGGCTGTGCTGTATTCTTTGTTAACACTATGTCGTGTTTCTCGTTAAGGCTGTGCTGTATTCTTTGTTAAGACTGTGTCGTGTTTCTCGTTAAGGCTGTGCTGTATTCTTTGTTAACACTATGTCGTGTTTCTCGTTAAGGCTGTGCTGTATTCTTTGTTAAGGCTGTGTCGTGTTTCCCGTTAAGACTGTGCTGTTTTCCTCATTAAGACTGTGCTGTGTTCCTCATTAAGAATGTTCTGTGTTCTTCATTAAGGCTGTGCTTTGTTCCTCATTAAGACTGTTCTGTGTTCTTCATTAAGGCTGTGCTTTGTTCCTCATTAAGACTGCTGTATTCCTCATTAAGGCTGTGCTGTGTTCCTCATTGAGACTGTACTGTGTTCCTCATTAAGGCTGTACTGTGTTCCTCATTAAGACTGTGCCGTGTTCCTCATTAAGACTGTGCTGTGTACCTTATTAAGGTTGTGCTGTGTTCCTCATTAAGGCTGTGCTGAGTTCCTCATTAAGGCTGCGCTGTGTTCCTCATTAAGACTGTGCTGTGTTCCTCATCAAGATTGGGCTAGACTGTGCTGTGTTCCTCATTAAGGCTATGCTGTGTTCCTCATTATGACTGTGCTGTGTTCCTCATTAAGCCTGTGCTGTGTTCCTCATTAAGACTGTGTTGTGTTCTTCATTAAGGCTGTACTGCGTTCTTCATTAAGACTGTGCCGTGTTCCTCATTAAGACTGCGCCGTGTTCCTCATCAAGATTAGGCTAGACTGTGCTGAGTTCCTCATTAAGGCTGTGCTGTGTTCCTCATTAAGACTGTGATGTATTCCTCATTAAGACTGTGCTGTGTTCTTCATTAAGGCTGATTTGTGTTCCTCACTAAGCCTGTGCAGTATTCCTCATTAAGGCTGTGCTGTGTTCCTCGTTAAGCCTGTTCTTTATACCTCGTTAAGGCTGTGCTGTGTTTCTCATTAAGGCTGTGCTGTATTCTTCATTATGTTTGTGCCGTGTTACTCATTAAGCCTTTGCTGTTTTCCTCATTAAGACTGTGCTGTGTTCCTCATTAAGGCTGTGCTGTGTTCCTCATTAAGGCTGTGCTGTGTTCCTCATTAAGGCTTTGCTGTATTCCTCGTTGAGGTTGTGCCATGTTCCTCTTTGAAGCTGTACATTATACCTTGTTAAGCCTGTGCAGTTTTCCTCATTATGGCTTTGCTGTGTTTGTTGTTAAGGCTGTGCTGTGTTCCTCATTAAGGCTGTTCTTTATACCTCATTAAGGCTGTGCAGTATTCTTCGTTTAGGCTTTGCTGTGTTCCTCGTTAAGGCTGTGCCATGTTCCTCATTAAGGCTGTTCTTTATACCTTGTTAAGGGTGTGCAGTATTCCTTTTTTAGGCTTTTGCTGTGTTCCTCGTTAAGGCTGTGCTCTGTTCCTCGTTAAGGCCGTGCAGTATTCCTCGTTTAGGCTTTGCTGTGTTCCTCGTTAAGGCTGTGCTCTGTTCCTCGTTAAGTCTGTGCAGTATTCCCTGTTTAGGCTTTGCTGTGTTCCTCATTAAGGCTGTGCTTGTTAAAGTCTGAATGATTTCCCTTGCCAGGCTCATCACTGTCACTGTGTGTGAGAACTGACAAAATCCATCTGCTGCTCACATCAAAAACTTCCATCTTTTATTCATCTCTCTCTCTCTCTCTCTCTCTCTCTCTCTCACTCTCTCTCTCTCTCTCTCTCGCTCGGCCCACGCAGCCTGGAGTTTACTATTCAAATCAACTCAGAGAGAGGGAGATGGAGAGCAGGGAGAGAGAGTCACACAGAGAGACATAGAAAGAAAGAATGAAGAGAGCAGAGAAAAAAGATAAAAGGTGTTCACACCTGTTCGCATGTACGTTGACGAGGAGAGGTTGCCATGGAGAACGCTTCAGCCTGTCGTTATTAATTATTCCACAGATTATCATATCTCACTTCAGGCTCAGAAACAAAGGCCGATGTTTCTAAAGGCCTCAGTGTTCAGCTCAGCACTGTGTAACCAAGAGCTTCCAGGTGAGCTCGTAGGTCATGACCGTCCGTCCTCTCCTAATCTACACCTGCTTCAAACAGAGTTAATTACCTTTATTTACCTTTTATTCCTGCCCTCCTCTCTTCTCTCACTCCTTCTCCAAATCCCTCCATCACTCCCTCCTGTCACTCTTTGTCACTTTTTATTCCAACTGTGGCTTTATTTCTGAATCTCATATCAAAATCCACTGTAGGGTAATGGAAATGACTGACAGCGTAGACTCACCACTCACCTCATTACAAACACGCACCTTCTACTTCCACTGACTGGCCACTTAATTAGAAACACACACCTTCTACTTCCACTGACTGGCCACTTTATTAGAAACAAACACCTACTTCCACTGACTGGCCACTTTATTAGAAACACACACTTTCTGCTTCCACTGACTGGCCACTTT